TTGAAAATATGATTTTCTAAATAGGGAATGCGATTCCCAGTTGAAGGGAGAGAAAAATTTTTGAAATTCGCCCCCTTTATTCCGCAAGATTTGGGCATCCATACGATGAATCTCTCATCCCTTCAGGTGCACCTCCCCTAAATGACAATAAGGAAGAACAACGTCAAGGAACTAATTAACCCACCAGCTCAACACTCTGAGTACCTAAGCAATTAATTTGAATCGCTACCACACTAACCTGATCATCATCAGCAGGCCTTCGGATCTCATATCCATTGCCTCAACAATTAGCCTCAATGCCCCAATGTCTAGGACCCTCCAAAAGACCAAGCGCCACGAAACCCATGTCTAGCCACATCTGGAATGACAACCAGCTTAGTTAGGAATGAGCACATCCAGTCTCCAAAATCAAGTATTCAAGAGGCGATTAAGGACATGAAAGCCAAGCTCCCTATAATCAAGAAAGGGCAAAAGATGGAAATTTCTTGATTTCTCATAATCAAGAAAGGGCATGAACACCATAGTTGTTGTAGTGAGGACTCTTCTAGTAGATAAATTTCCAACCTTTCACTTGATTTTAGATATAAAATTTGATCTAGTTCAAATCCCAAAATCGATCTAGAGGAGAAAAGATTATTTTCTCATATGCAATTTTGCTTTTCTCCTATCTGATTCTTTGATTCTTGAACCCTAGTTTTGGAAAATTTTTGAACAAAATCTGACCTTGTTCTTGCCACAACTTTCAAAGAAAAACATTGTCTATCGCTTGGGTGTACCCATGAGAATACTAACAGACAATGGTCTATTAATCACAATGTATATCCCATTCTAGCAATCACATGTGGTAAATTTGAATTATTAACTACTAAAAGACCACCCCAAGACAACTTAACAAAGGAAATCAATAACAAATAATAACAACAAGGTCATTTCCTTGGAAAATTGTTTCATTTCATTACAAAAATTCTAGAGAACACTCTTCAACACCTACCTTCTCTTTCATCCCTAACATCTCTTTGTTCAATCTCTCTTCCACTCTCATTGTTGATACTCTCTTCAATAGCTACTTTCTCTTCCTCATTTCTTCCAATACTATAAACTATAACCTCTTTTTGGAGTTGTTCCATCTCCATTCTGAGTTCATCTCCATTCTTCCACTCTCATTGTTTATACTACATATCGTATGTTAGCCACTCCATTACAAATTTTACCCATTAAGTTTAGGGACTATTATCGCATTCACAAAATACAATATTGATACGTTTTGCACTAGGGGGCTTCCCATCACATGACCATAACATTCAACAATAAAAGCATATTGCAAGAGAACCCCCAAATTAGCCTAAGTATCGCAAATCAGACAACCTTATAACAAATTATAAAAGAAACTTCTCTAGAAAAGGAAACTTCCTAAGAAAAATCTATAAATAGGGGTCTCTAGAAAAGGGAATCCCCATGCATACATTACATCCCCAGACTGAGAGTTTCCTTCTTGCTTCAGAATTTCCTCTTCCTATCCAAGAAACCTTTCTCAAATTTGGATTTGAGATTGGCAGCAAGCATCTTCCTACAACTTCATCCCCACGTTGCTTGTCGTCTTTTAGCCAGACCTCTGTAGTGCCTACCTCC